TATTTTTAAATTTTATTTAACCATTTAAATTATTAAATTAATATAATTTTTTAATATGATATTAAATTTTTAATAATTAAGTATTAACGAGTTTAAATTTTATTATTATTATTTATTTGTGAAAATTTAAATAGAAAATAATATGAATATGTATAAATTTTAAGTTTAAAAAATTTTAATTTAAAAAATATAATTTATATTTAAAAATTTTATTTAAAATTTAAATTATTAAATTGATATAGATATTTGACATGTATAGGTAACCATTCCTGAAAAATATTTGATGGGCCAAAACATGCACGTGTCTATTGAAAGTTTTAGTTAATTAAACGTGTCAAACTCTCTTGCATTTGGGAAGGGTATTTGTTTTTATTGATAATGACATATACAAAACAGTATTCTTGTCTACAGGGTTTTTGTCTGCTGTCAATGCCATTATGCTTTTCTAGAGCATGACTTGACTTGACTGGGTAAGATTTTTTATCGTCTAAAATCAAGATTTTCTGATTTTTCTTTTATATATATATATATATATATTTATATATTTGTGTAAATGAATGTGCTTAAGGTTCTTTATAAAACTATTAGTTGAACCAAATCAGAGCTCCTAATATCTCAATTTTATTGAAAGTTTAATTACCATCAATCGTCTCTCTTATAGTCTTTCATTAAAAGTGGTACTCTCATTATCATACAATCTATCTATATTTTTTCCTTCTGATATCTACATCTGATATGAAACCTTTATCACTATCATACAATGAATTATCCCCTCTTCTTTGTGTAGGGAAGTATTAGTCTTGGCTTCCCGTCCTATACAAACCACCTTGCAATATGTTTCAAAATGCACATCAATATTCCAATCCTTGAATTTTGAACAAGATGCTTTGATAATAAATTTTAGCACTAGGGACGGACACCAATCATAGTATAAAAAACAAAAATATGCATTGAGAGGGGTTTATCTCCTTCCGCTGCTTCTGGATTTGAGTCCTCGTGTGTACGTCTGTCACCCTCGCGGTGTCTTACATTATATGTCTGTCACCCTCGCGGTATCTTACATGCCTACTAGGTTTGCAAGATATTTTGTAGGGCGTGAGATTAGTTGTGGTGCACGCAAGCTGACCCGGATACCCACGCAAATAAGAAAACAAAAACAAAAACATGGTAAATCTTTTCTTTTTTGAAAACAAAGTCATACAAGTTACACCAAAATTTTTATTAAAATTTCAACATAATCTCTCCTTCATACTAGAAAATTTTAAATTATCAACAAACAACCAATGCACTTTTATTAATCATTATTCAATTACGATCCAATTATTATAAGTCTTAATTTTCATCGATGCTCATTGGGACAACCATAATTTTTCAAATATTCAAATAATAACAATGAGTATTAACTAGTACTTAAATGAGAAAAAAAAATACTTGCATGGAAATTATGAATACATGATAATATAAATTATGTTTAGATATTATATTTAAAAGATATTATTATAATGTAAGCTATAATAGTTTCTTAAGATACAAAATATGTTAATATTTGTTTAGCTCTAAATGACACAAAAGATAGAGGATCTAAAATATTACTCTTGTCATAAATATGATGGACCTAAAATAAATATAAGATTGAAAAATAATTATCATAAAAGCAATACTAACATTGATAATCAAAATAATATATTAATTAAGGTTATATATTATCATATTCTTTATAATTTTTCATCTAATCCCCTCTTAAAATTTTTGGATTTATTCCTTCTAGATCAATTTTTCGACAATATCATATATTAATGTTGAAGGACAATTCCTTAAAAAATATTGATACCAATTCAATGGCACCATCAACTATCTTTACTAGGATTACTAATCAAATCTTTTCTTCTCTAAACTTTAGGATGGTAATGCTAATACTAATAAATATTATTAGTATCATTAGTCGTCCTTACTAGGATTAATTAATTAAGTTTGTCATAAATGATGATATCAATGCAACTTATTAATATCATTAGCCATTCTTAATCTGAAATAGTTAATTAATTTTTCATAAAACTTTGAAATATCTTTGAGAATGCCAATATCATAGACTCTTGACATCATTAGCTTTCATGTCATGAATAACTAATCAATTTTCATGGCATTGTTTATATCAATATTGCCATTGATATCATTAATTATTCTTGATCTAAATAGTTAATCAAGTTCATTTAAAAGTAACTTTAAAATAGAAATATGTGTAGTCAAAACAACATTATTGAAAATTAACTATAATAATACCAATTGCACAAAGAATTATTGACGAGTTGGAGACTATAGTATTTTAAAAGAAAATACTCCATTTTATAACAACAAATAACAGTAATACGTTATAAGGTGAGGATGATATTGCTAGAAACTAATATATTGGTCTTCGCTCTGTTACGAGTTAAATTATTTTTTTAATATAAATAAAATATTAAGAGCATAGAGAATTTTTTTTAATAGTGTTTTTAAACTTGATCAAGAGGGTTAATTTTGAAACCTCCCAACTTAACTCTTACTTAACTTAAATTTTTAATAAAATCGTGTAAGAGCTATCTCAGCTTAAATTGATTAATTTTATAGGTCTAAACACAACCTTAATGATCGATAAAACATGACTTACATTTTTTAAAAACATCAAAATGATTATTTTGTTTTTTAAATATTAAGGCAATCATAGATTGCATTGACCTCGGTCCCCCACGACTCGGGTCATGGACTCTATTAGGTTTAGTAAATTTTTATTATAAATGTTTTTATTTAATTATATAATAAAAATAAATGATCATAAAATTGAGTATCAACCTAAAAAAGACACTTATTTGAAACAATTATCCTTAGACAACAAACAAGAATCAATAATATAGTTCACTTTCTAATGAATTCAATATTAAATTAAAAAATTAAAAAATTAAAAATTAAAAGATCATAAATAAAAAAAGAGCATATCCTATTGGTGGAGATCATCAATAAAAAAAGAGCATATCCTATTGGTGGGTAAACTCGTCAAACTTGTGAATCAAACAAGCCAGGCTAGAACGTGACATTTATGAACTAGGTTATGAAATCCAGTGAGATTTTAATTTTTTTTTCATAACTATTTTTTATTTAACTATATAATAACAAGAATAAATGATTGTAAAATAAAAAAACTAACTTAATACTGAGATGTGTTTTTAGATTGTGATAACCTCATAAAAGAAAAAATAAAACCAATTATAAAATTAAATTCTCAATTAACCTAACATCTAACAATGAAAAGAAAACTAATTTGAAAAAAAATTAAACTTGTTAGACCTGCAAATAAAGTCAACTAGTCAAACCTGTAAATGGGTTTATATACTTTATAAAGTTTAATAACATGAATTTTTCATGAAACTATTTTTTTTAACTATATGAGAAAAATATAGATGATAAAAAAACCAAGTTCAATTAAAAAAAAAATAATCCACCAAACTCGTAAACTAGGGTAACTCAAGTTACTTTAGAAATCATGCAAACCACGTTAACCTTATAGAAAGGTAAAATAAAATAAAATTATGAAGTCAAATTTTTAATCATCTCAATATTAAAAAAAGAAATTGACGAAAATAAATTTGAAAAACAATCATAATAAAAATTCAAAAAAGAAGAAGAAAAAAAAGAAAGAAAGAAAGCAAAACATTGTGGATTACTATTATTATTCATAATGCAATGTGTTCCTGACACTCTAATTTTTGTTACTTTATAAAGTTTAATAACATGAATTTTTTTAAAATTTTTTTTTTTAACTATATAAGAAAAAATAGACTACAAAAAAGTTAAGTTCAATTAAAAAAAAAAAACTATTGGATAATAATACAAATCATATCATGAGACCTTAACTCACAACTTAAGCTATTGGGTCAAGATGATACTTTTACATGGTATAAGAGTCTTGATGACCAAACGGTTATGAGTTTGAATATCACTATTTTTATTTATTTGATAAAAATTAAGCACAAAATAAAATGGGTTTGTAAAAGTTTAAAACTCAAAGGGCTTTCACTTGAAGGGGTATATCAGATAATAATATAAATCATATCTTGAAACTTCAATCTTGATACTTTACCTAACAGTTTAAGTTATTGGGTTGAGATGTTTTTTGACAAAGACCTATCAAACTTGTAAACCAAGACAATCTAAATTACCTTGGCAAACCCGTAAACTATATTAACCTTGTATAAAGTTAAAATTAAAAAATTAAATTTTAAATAATCTCAATTTTAAAAGATTAAATCGATAAAAATAAATTAAAAAATCATAACAAAAATTAAAAAAAGAAGAAGCAAAATACCATGAATTACTATTATAATCTATGATGTATGGTGTATGGTGGAATGGATATTAATGAATATTAGGTAAACAGAGATATCCACGTATCCTTTAACTTTTGGATACTTCATAAAATATTTTGTTGTCAAAGCAATCAAATTGAAAAGTTGCCTAGACTTATAGAAATAAGTAAAATTCGGTCAGTTTGACAAGAGTTTTGGCGATGTAGCGAAAGAAATGTAAGGATAAAAAAAAAAAACAGAATTTTCAAAAGAAA